CCCGCCACCTTAGGTGTACGTGGCTGGCGCCTTAGCCAGTTGAGCTATAGGCGCCGAGCCAACTATTTCTTGAATAATGTTACATACCAGGCATTGGGCTGGATGGTGGGGATACACTAGAGACTTCTTGAGGGCAAAGACTGGTAGTTTCTTTCAATATTTTGTTCCTAATGTGTAGACTAATCAATGCCTAGCAAATAGTTGGCACTCTAGAAGTAAATTCTTAATGAATGGTGAACAAATTTTTCAAGTTTATAATCTGTTAGGTCCAGTGTAGTCTAGATTGGGAGGAGTTAGGGCAGTTATTGACAAACTTAGAATATGAAGCATCCAAGGGCGGTGCCTATGGCTCAAGGAGTAGGGTGCCGGTCCCATATACCATAGGTGGTGGGTTCAAACCCAGCCCTGGCCAAAAACTGCAGCAAGAACAACAACAACAAAAAGAATATGAAGCATCCAGCCAGGTGTGGTGGCTCATGCCTGTAATGTTAGCACTCTGGGAAGCTGAGGTGGGAGGATCAGTTGAGCTTGGGAGTTTAATACCAGCCAGAGCAAGAGTGAGACCGTGTCTCTACAGCAATTAGAAAAATTAGCCAGGTTTGGTGATATGTGCCTTGGAATCCCAGCTACTTGGGAGGCTGAGGCAGGTGCATCACTTGAGCCTAGGAATTTGAGGTTGCAGCAAGCTATGATCAATTTCTTTGCACTCTAGTCTGGGGTAATAGAGCAAGACTCTGTCTCAAAAAACCCCAAAAAGAAAAAACTGAAGAATCCTATGATGGAATAAAGAATTTTATTGGGATTTTTAGTAAATTTGGTTTGAGTTTTTGACTTACTAGGTAGGCAAACAACTAACTAGATAGCCTCAGTTTTCTCATCTGTAAAATGGAAATAATAATTACCTCTTGAGTTGATGCCCAGGAAAGATGTATCATGTTTATCCTATAACTTTGTTAACCTTTGGCACAGTGTGAGTTGTTTGGTAGGGGCTCATTGATAGTTGAAATTAAAGTTGAAAATTGTACCATTAATTGCTGTGACTCATCATGTGGGCATGAATTGTAAACTGGTTTATTTCAGCAGAAATAACCTGACATCATTAAGCCACTTGGTGACCGGTAAAAATAATACTTAATGAACTTTAACAAAGGTCCGGGCATTATTCTTGGAGGCTTTTATTTTTTTTGAGATGCAGTTTTGCTCCTTTGCCTAGGCTAGAGTACAGTGGTGTGATTGATCATATGTCATTGCAAGCTTGAAATTCCTGGGTTCAAGCAAGCCTCATAGTTCAGCATTCCAAGTAGGTAGGACTATAGATGTGTGCCACTATGCCCTCCTAATTAAAAAAAATTTTTTTTTTGTAGAGGCAGAATCTAGGCTGGTCTCAAACTCCTGTCTTCAAGTGATCCTCTTGTCTCACTTAGTCTCCCCAAATGTTGGAATAACAGATACAAGCTTCCTTGCCTGGCCATGAAGTGTTAAGAAAGTTCCAGGGGTCATTCTAAGTGCTTTGCAGTATTAATTCACATAGTCCTTCCAATATCCCTATGGGATGGATCCTCTTATTATCATTCTTATTTTTATTTATTTATTTATTTTTATTTTTATTTTTTTTGAGACAGAGCCTCAAGCTGTCCCCCTGGATAGAGTGCATGCTGTGGCATCACAGCTCACAGCAACCTCCAACTCCTGGGCTCAAGTGAGTCTCCTGCCTCAGCCTCCCAAGTAGCTGGGACCACAGGCGCCCACCAC